AGTTAGGCCAATGCTGAGAGCTTTATACCACCCTTCCCGTTGTGCTTTGAAATCTTTGGCTGGACAGTGCTATATGATTAATTGGATTAATACTAGTGCACAGCAGGACTTCTGAATTCACATTTCTGTGTTGAATGCAACTGTATCCTTGTCACACTTGGGAATGATATGCCAGTAAAGTAACGATGAAATGAGTCCATATTCCAGAGCTGAATGACAATTGCAAACAAACCATCCATGGCAAAACCAATGCTGGGGCCCCTCATGTTTCCAAACTGACTCCCCCCGCCGCTAATCTCTACAATGATGATATGTATTGTCAAGAGAGAATGTGATCATTTGCCAAGGGCTGGCGACACCGCTCAGTTCTAAACTCTAATTATCACTTTCTTTTGTTGAATATGGAAACGATGGTTTTCTGTTGTTGTAGGTTGATGTAACGCAGTGGTAGTGGTGCATATTGCAGTACCCAGGAAAATAAGTTGTTACCTCTCTCTGCTCAGTAGTGATGTGTTAGCAGCAGCATTTGGGGATTGCTAAGTTTCTCCATACTCAATGGGCAAACACACACTTTCAGCCTGAATTACTATTTGGTTTTGATTGCAAAAAGAGTGAAGCAAGAGAGAACAGAAGTAAAGTCTCCGTGAGAGGGCGCACACTGACAGTCTGTGTCGCTCTGGACACAAAATAGATGCCTGCTTCTCCAGACAGTAGAGTCCTCAGAATTTTAAATGTGCTTTACCCAGGAAACGGGGATGTCAGCACATCTCTGCCACAGTAATCCATAGCTAAATACACTTCATGAACATTAAGTAAAGACTTATTTGCTGGGTCAGAAATACTGGGTGAGATTCCTGACCACTGCTTCAGCCCCCTTATGCCAAGTAAAAGGGCTGGAGTGGCCTAAAGGGGTTTGAAAAGCCTGGGATCCAGCTGGGAGGAGGATTTCTGCACCACAGGAGCACAGCTGTAAGGATGCCTTCTGAGGACCCTTGGCAAGCTCTGATTTAGGTTGTATTCCAGTTCCAGGTGTGGGACAGGCGGGGTGAATCGTAGGCAGAACCACGCACACAACCCTACAGAGATTCTGGGCAAATAGGACCCTAGAGTGGTCATTACACGGGAGGCCATACATGAGGTTTGAAGCCAGCTTAGCCCTCCCTCTCTTTGGGCTATCTTTGCCCTCCCCTTACAGGTGCAGCACAGAATCTTGCCCAAGCTGTTGGCTGTCCTATTACATCACCCACATCCTTTTGCTGCACTGTGCATCTTCTACTGAACGCCAGAGATGTTGAATAAGGTTGTTGGCAGTGTGTGTATTTGCTCAGTGTGGTGGCCATGGCCCTTTGATGAACCCATTGACCTGCCTGAGATTGTAAAACTTGCACCTGCCTTAGTTGGAAACACTAATAAAAAGGGTGGAGAGAAGAAGCAGCAAAGTCTTTGGTCAGCCCACACCACTGCTTGTAGCCGTTGGTGTTCTGTGGCACGAGGCATGAGAACCGGTTGACATTTCCCCCCGGAAATCTTTTATTCAGTGAAGAGCAGCTGTCTGAGCTAAACCGAAATGTCACCAAAAATAATTCACTTCAAAATTTGTCACTGAAAAATTTTGTCATGAAAACTTTCATTTTGAATTGAAAAATTTTATCTGGATTTTTGAAAATGAAAATAAAAGTTTTTGGAGGGGAGGAGGTGGAATTTTTCTCCATTTCCTACTTTGACTCCCCAGTGAGAGTGAGGCGGAAATGGAGGGATTGTAAGAAAAGGAGAGAGAGAGGTTGAGGAGAGAAAGGAGCTCCCCCCATCCCCACCCCAGTTGTACAAGCATGGTAATGAAAGTGCAGCGACTGTGATGCTGGATCTCAGGGAGTGTGCGCAAGGCTCAAAAAACCATGCCAGGCTACTAGATGGTCACCCAGAATGGCCCAGTGCTCTGCATCACAGCAATTAAATCCATGTTGCTCACTGCAATGATCAGCGTGTTTGAAGCAGCTTGGAACAATTACCCAACAGCCTACATGTGCCTGAAAGCACAAGGTTCAGACTTTGCCATCTTGAGGATGTTAGTCAAAAACAAAGTGATCCAAGAATCCAGAGAGGCCAGTGCTGTTGTACTGTGTTTCTTTTGTTCAGCCCTGGCACTGTGCTGGAGCGGATGTTTTTGGATTATGAGGCTGCGAAAATGTAGTAAGTTAGGGGAAAGGTCCACAGCTTGGCTTTTGGCTAGCGCATAGTGCTTTCTTCCCGCTTGTAAGGTAAGGAGAGGGGGTGAGTTCTGCTGCACTTCGATTATGCGGGAATGTAATACTCAAGCGGTTGTAATTGCTTTGAAGGCAGGGAGCACACCCAGTTTACTGTCAGCAGCTTATCACACAAGAATTAAAGTTACAATGCAGAATAAGATCCAGGTGTCTCCCTTAAAAGAGCCTTTTTTCCAGCTGTAGTACCGTAGCCTGGATGCTGACAGCCATACGTGCGTTGTCTGTGCTGAGTGTTAGACTAGCATTTGTGTGATTTTTCTTTTTCGTTCCAGTTTTTGTAAATGCATTTTGATTGCTGGTGGGTGGTGCTAGCTTGACAGTCCTCCACTGTGGCCACAGAACAGGCCTCAGAGTGGGCAGTGGAAGTGCATGCTTCCCCAAAACAATGCCCTACTGACATGCCACGAACCTGCCTGGGAAGGGACCCAGTTAGGGCTGAGAAGGTAATTCAGTCTCACCGGCCCGTTTTGTCCTCAGCCTGTCTGCTGGTAGTTTTTGAGATGTGACACCTGTTCACTCAGAACTGGAAGGAGTCCATCAAATTCACCTCACTGCATATGTAGCCGGCTCATGAGACAGCTCATGGTGTCCAACACCATCAGGTGGTCCAGAGCTGGACCGGCTCCAGGCACCAGCGAAGGAAGCAGGTGCTTGGGGCGGCCAATGGAAAGGGGCGGCACGTCCGGGTCTTCAGCGGCGGGTCCCTCAGTGCCTCTCGGAGCAAAGGATCCGCTGCCGAATTGCCGCCGAAGAATGAAGCGGCGCGGTACAGCTGCCACCGAAGTGACGCCGATCACGCCGATTGCGGCTTTATCTCTTTCCACCCCTCCCCCCCCCCCGCTTTGCCGCTTGAGGCAGCAAAAGAGCTGGAGCCGGCCCTGGTCCAGAGACATCTACACGGAGCACATCACGGGACACCGTCAGTACTAGGATGAGTAAACGAGAACACCGGTCAAGGAAATAACCCACTTCCTTCCCTGACAAACCAAGGGACTCACCCCACCCATGTCCCTATTCGCTATACCAATACTGACTTAGGCTTGGTCTACACTACCCCCCCTAATTCGAACTAAGGTACGCAACTTCAGCTACGTGAATAACGTAGCTGAAGTTCGAAGTACCTTATTTCGAATTAGTTCAAACTTACCTTGGTCCACACTCGGCAGGCAGGCTCCCCCGTCGACTCCGCGGTACTCCTCTCGGCGAGCGGGAGTCCCCCAGTCGACAGGACTACCTGCTAGATGGCATTAAACTTGCCTCCACGAAGCTAGATATATCAAAACGATTG